AACTGATGAGTGGATAATGAAAATGTGGTTCATTTATACGATGGAGTTTTACTCAGTAAAGAAAGATGAAATCATGAAATTTGCAGGTAAATGGAACTAGAAACTGTTATAAAAAGTGAAGTAACAGACTCAGAAAAAAAATCGACATACGTTCTCCCTCATATGTGGATCCTAGAACCAGACCCTGATAAATAAGTAAGATAAGTAAGTACAAATAACTACAGGAACCAGGATAATGGAAACAGCGAGGTAAAGGAAAAGAAAGAACCTGAAAGAGAACAACAGTAGGAAACAGGCCTTAATAAGGGAGATATGGATAAAAATGGGGTTTAAGGGAGGGGGTAGGGTTAGGGTATACCTGCAGGCAGACCACTCATATAGTAAAATAAATTTCTTTTTTGGTCTTTTTGAGATAGGTTCTCCCTGTAGCCCCAACTGGCCTGGAACTTACTCAAAAATAAATAAATCATAAAAAAAAAAAAATACTTGCCTTGATAAGAAAATATGACCAACATTCGACATAAACCAGTATGTCTTTCCTATTTGTTTTTGACTGAATTAAAAAATTTCAGGGCGCTGGGCATCGTGGCACATACCTTTGATCCCAGCACTTGGGAGGCAGAGGCAGAAAGATCATTGAGGATTTGAGGTCAGCCTGGTCTGCATAGGGAGTTCCAGGCCAGCTGGAGATACAGGCAGACCGTGTCTCAAAAAGACAAAATTTTTTCAGGGAAATGCAAACTGTAGCTTACATTAATGTTACCTCTTCACCAACATAGCTAGCTGGTGTAGGTGCTTATTATTTTGAGAAATTAATACTACCAAAGTTTCCACCCTGGTATTTTTTGAGACAGGGTCTCCCTGTAGCCCCAGCTGGCCTGGAATTCACTATGTAGATCAGGCTGGACTTGAACTCAGAGATCCACCTGCCTCTGCCTCCTGAGTGTTGGGAGTAAAGGCGTGCACCACTGTGCTGGATAGCTTTAGTGCCAACTTGACACACCTGGGTTGAGGGAGCCTCAATCGGGAAATTGCCTCTATTGGACTGGCCTGTGCCCATGTCTGAGGGGCATCTTCTTGATGAGTGATGTGGGAGGCCCAGCCCACTGTGGGTGGTGCCACCCTTGGGCAGGTGGGCCTGTGTTGCATAAGAAAGCAGGCTGAGTAGGGGCCAGGGGAGCAAGCCAGTAAGCAGCGTTCCTCCATGGTCTGTGCTCCAGCTCCTGCTTCCAGGTTCCTGCCCTGAGTTCCTACCTTGGGCTCCCTGATGAACTATGACCTGGGAGATGTAAGCTGAATGGACCCTTTCCTCCCCAAGTTGGTATTGGTTGGAGTATTTTGTCACAGCAATGAAGAACAAACTAGGACAACCACCATGCCCAGTGACCCTGGTACATTTTAACAGTAATTTTGCCAACTTTCTAATGGAAACAAAGCCAACTATCTCCACGCTACAAAAATCCACACTTGTTAACAGAAACTAGCAAAATATGTATCAAGGTTATACTGATAATTTAATAGAGGAATACTCCATTATTTTCCTAGTGAATTTAACTGGTATTAAAAAGATAGGAGTATCTATGCTATTACATTTACTGATTTACTTGTATCGAAGGTGCACACATGGAGGTCAGAGGACAACCTGTGGGAGTCCATTCTTGCCTCCTAATGTGTGGGCCTCTGGAAGCAAACACCCTGCCAAGCTTAGCCAAAGGCCTTTACAAACTCAGCCACATTACCAGCATGACTATATCTTAATAAACAATACATGCCAAATTGTAGCCAGTTTTTATTTAAGACTCTTTTTTTAATTAAAATTTTTTCTAATGGTACAACAAATGAGTTCGGGGCTTTTGTCTGAATAAAGGATTCTGCAATCTTTCCTACGTCATGTAAGAGTCTTGGCAGGGACTCTTTCATGTTTGTTTCTAATTTCAAAATGCATGACATCTAGCATTTTCACTTCTGGGTAAGAGAAAACGCATTTTGGTCCATTAATTCTCCTACTCGTTCCTGGAGGACATTCACCAGCTCTGCAATTACAAAGACGTGTGTGTCATCAATGTCTTGAATGATGAACTTCTTCCCCAGGGCATTGGACTCATCCAAGTATAGCAGAAACTGCTTCATGGCAGGATCACTGTGGAGACAAACACAAATCCTAAGACATCTACACCACTGAGACCTGAGCACAAAATTTAGCATAAAGAATGTTTCAATGATTTTTAAAGTTTGGAACTATTATTCAATCTCTCATTTTTCTCTCAGCTCAGGTATTAATGACTTACTTAAGTGTCAGCAGGTTTACTAGACAGGCCAAAGGCTTAGGCCAGGTGTGGGGGCACATACCTTTAATACCAGCACTCAGGAAGCAGAGGCAAGCAGATCTCTGAGTTCAAGGCCAGCCTGGTCTACAAAGAGAGTTCCAGGCCAGCTGGCGCTACAGGGAGACCCTGTCTCAAAAAGACCTTCCCTCCACCTCTAAAAAAGAAAAAAAAAAAAAGATGCCGGGTATGGTGGCAGCACTCAGGAGGCAGAGGCAGGCGGATCTCTATGAGTTCAAGGCCAGCCTGGTCTACATAGTGAGTTCCAGGACAGCTGGGGCTACAGGGAGCCCCTGTCTCAAAAAGACCAAAAAAAAAAAAAAAAAAAAAGAATGTCCTTATGCATAACCATTATAAGAAATATCTTGCCAGCAACAAATTTACAAAACCACTTACATTCCTTTAATCCTAGCACTCTGAAGGCAGAGGCAGGCAGATCTCTGAGTTGAGGCCAGCCAGGGCTACATAGTAAGATTCTTCATCAATACAAACAACAAAAGCCCTAAACAACCAATCAACCAAAAACAAAAACTCAACCAACCAAAATAAAAATACTCACGTCCATACTATTTATGAGAATTAAAGATATAAATTTCAAAGACAGTGGTTGTTTGCAGTAGGGCAGGGGCGAGCATGGCACAGCCACAGTGCTAAGGTCACATATTTAAGTAGACACAAAAAATTTCACATTTTGGGGGGTTACACAAAATTTAAAATTGTAAAGGAGTGGCAGTATACATGGAAAAATCTCAGTAAAGTTAACAAATATTTCAATTATTGAAAGAACCCCATGGGAAGAAGCATACAAATGGCCCAAAGAGCAATTCTATTAGGCCCTGAGGGTTCTTCCTGTTTATATTACAGAAGGGAAACCAGGAGGCCCACAGGACAGAGAATGAAAGCCTTAGCTTCTCTAAGACTGTTTTCTTCCTTGTCTATACAAATGCGGGGTGAGGTTAGGATGGGAATAAAGGAGCTGACAGTGCAAGAATGAAGGTGGGCAAAATCCTTAGTGCAGTGCTGTACAACCAAGCTGCTTCAAGTGGACCTTGACAAGCCCTGTTGTCCTGACTGGCTGAGGCTCCACAAGAATCTTCAAACATCCTATAAAAAACACACTGTTTTCTTGAAGGAAAGACTTTACCCAATGGGATGAATGGCTGTTTTGTAAAATATACTTCAGTTCCAAATGAACAGAGCAATAAGGTCATCCAAACAGGATGTTATAATAATGCAATTACTGTTTAAGTGTGATGTATTATTTTGTTCCTATTTAAGCTCTGTGAAATTCACAGATGATGCCAATTTACTCTAATTCTACACTAAGAGTTACTGTTAAAAGCAGCAATGGCTGGCGTGGCACACTTTTAGTCCCAGCACTCTGGAGGCAGAGGCAGGTGGATCTCTGATCCACCTGGTTTACATAAGGAGTTCCAGGCTAGTTGGGGCTACAGGGAGGCCCTATTTCAAAAACACCTCACAGATTCAAGGTTTAAGGGACATTTTGATATAAAATACAGAAGGCCTGCAATATTCTAGTCTGAATACAGGGCTCTCCCATTTAAAAAAGTTTTTTAATTAGCTTTATTTATGTGTATGAGTGTTTTGCCTGCATCATCTAGGTAAGCGCACCCATGTTGTACAATGCTTGCAGAGACCAGAAGAGGGCGTCAGATACCTGGAACTGGAGTTTTGGATAGTGGTTAGCCACCATGTGGGTACCGGGAACTGAATCCAGGTCTTTTGCAAGAGCGTCCAGTGCTGTTAACTGAGCCATCTCTTCAGTGCTCCCCCCGACCCCTTTTTAAATGAAGGGTGGGCTCTGAGAGAATCCTACTGGCAAAGGACAATATGGTTTTAGGAAACTGGGAGGTCAGTGGTGGAGCACTTGCCTAACATCTGTGGGACCCTAGGTTCAACCTCCAGCACTGAAAAAAGATTCTGAAAAGCCTAGTATCGAATGAGTCTACCAGGATGATACTGTCAGCTGTGAGAAGTTAACTGGTCAAAGTTGTAAGCAGTGTCATCTAATCAGAATGTTAGTCACAACTTTGTTATCGTAAGCCCTCCTTCCTGGTTAGTAGTCAACTGGTTACAGTACTTGAACGTTTGTTTTTCCTGAGGGTAGAAGGAATGTTGTATGGCACAACTGTCTCATTTCCCCCTTATATAAATCAGAAGGTAGTGAGAGTTTAAGGGAGGAGAGGTCTCTGAATCTGTGAGTTTTTGGTTAACCAAAGAGGACAAGTAGGCATGAGAATGGGGTCTCAAGGCAGCAAGAGCAGGTGGGGCTGGAGGTGGAGGGACAGCACAGCCTTACAGATTTAAGCAGACAAAAAAAAGTTACAGTTCCAGAAGTGTTTTCTGAGTTTGAGTTGTTTGACTTGGGATTCTATATTAGAGTCTAGCAAATTGTAGGTGCTCAATAAATATGTATGTATGTAAGGTCCTAAGAAAGATGCCAGGGGGGACACTGAGCTACCCAGAACCACAGTTCCTCATATCTCAATTAGGCTTTGTTGTTACAAAGACAGATTCTAAGGCGAGTACTGGCCTCAGCAAGGCCCAACCCCAAGTGACCGCTGTGATTTTATTTTTATTTTTTGGTCTTTTTGAGACAGGGTCTCCCTGTAGCCCCAGCTGGCCTGAACTTGCTATGTAGACCAGGCTGGCCTCGAACTCACTGAGATCCACCTGCATTTGCCTCCCGAGTGTTGGGATTAAAGGTGTGTGCCACCACGCCTGGCAACTGCTGTGATTTTCAGCCTCACTTCCATACTCCAATCTGCTCAGATTCTCCCTGTTGAGACAGAGGGGCTCTAAAATTATATTAACCACTTGGGGTTTAGGCTGAGATCACAATCTGATTTGATTCTGTTTATTAAACTTCGTTTAATAAATGTAGAGGTGTATGTTTACACCTTTGCAACAAAGGTGTGAAGCACTGTTCTGGCTGCCTTGGAAACACGGCCCTACCCAGGAAGCAAGAATAACAAGACTTACTGTAAAGAGAACAGTTAGACTGGGTTTCTGTCAGCTCCTACCTGCTTCTCACAAAGCCCATGGAGTAAGTATGGACTCAGAGCACATGTACTCTCCTTGTGCTGTAAACTGCTGGGAATTTACTCCACTGTAACATGTCCTCTGAGACACTGCCAAACCAATGGCAACTGCACACCAGAGGTCTGCTCTAGCACCTGAACTGGTCATGGAAGTGTGCTAGGTGTATGCTGCTTGCTTCCATAATTGCCACGATTGTGTAGATTTGAGAAAATGCAAAGTGCAAGCCTGGTTTTTGACAGTGGGTCCCCAAAGGGAAGATATTTTCACTAATCTCAGGTTTGAGATAAAAATACAAATTTGTAAATATTTTTTACCCAGTCTCGGAGGTAGTGTTTTTTTTTTCTTTTTTGGGACTGAGGCTTGAAACCAGGCCTTCAATCACAAGCTCTACCACTGAGCTATACTTCCAGTACCCCAGCCTTAGATTTTGGTGTTTGATAAGCCTTGGGAAAAATCTTTAAAAATTCTGCAGATGCCAGAAAAGAGGGTCAGATACCCTGGAAACGGAGTTACCAAGGGTTGTTAGATACGTGCGTGCGTGCGTGCGTGCGTGCATGCGTGCGTGCTGGGACCCACACCAGGTCTGCTGCAATAGCAGCCAGTGCCCTTAATTACTGAGTCTCCCAGTCTCACTTTGAAGAAGTTTTCAGACTTAGTACGTGCTCAAAGAATGCTTCTGGTTAATTGGATTAAATAACCTCACCTGTTTCATTTTACTTTTTAATGTAGGTACCAGAACATTTAAGACTATATAAGTGGCTTAAATGCTATTCCTACTGCACAGATGCTGCTCTTAATGTTGCCGGTGTCTCAGGATTTGCCCCTCCCTCAACTTTGCCATCACAGTAAATAGCACCCAGGGAAAGGCAGAGAGTAGCATTTCCAGACAACTGGAGTAGCCAGAGAGAAGGGTTTCCAATCAATCAAGTGAAAGCTGAGCAAAAATGAATCAGTAGTTCAAGTTTTAAAATTGGGTGACAACTACATCCTATATTTTAAGATTACTTTGAGGAACTCAACTCTAGAAACCCTTGTGGTTTCTGTTTCTCCTCTGGAAGATGTGCTAAGGTGTTCAAGAGACCTGCTCCAACTTGCTCTCTGTTCTCTTTTCAAATAGAACAATCTGTAGGTACAGACTTCATTAAGTTCCTGATTGGTTTCACATCTCAAGGCTCAGTCCTGGAGCCCAAACCAAGTGTAGGACAGTTTATTATTCAAATGACTTCTTTTCCTATCCAGGAGAGTGATTAAAAGGCAAGACCGTGGGAAGCAGGGCCTTAAATTCCAGGCAATTTCTGGACAGTCTGAGGAGAATGCCAACCTTAAACATTCTTCTCTAATCAGGGCTAAACAAATATACTGTCTCTGATCACAAATTAATGGAAAAATGCTAATTATATCAATTCAACAGAGACAATGAATGTATCATCAGCAAGAAACATAAGAACAAAATCTGTCTCATTTATTAAGTACACTGAAAATTGAAGACTTGATTTCAGATCAATAAAGCAAAACAGTATCAGAAAAGTCTTATGTAAATCAAGATCCAATGTGTAAATTTAAAACTCGTAACTACTAACCATTCTATAAGCACTCCTTTCAAGACGTTGACCATCTTTTCCCAGGCAGAATGTGCAGATGACTTCAAGAATGCTAATAAAAGATAAAGTGACACAATTTAAAAATTTCACCTTCATACTTTGAAGAGAGACGAAATAATAAATGATACTATTAAAGTTAAGCCTATCAAAAAGCTAACATGAAGAAGGCATACAGGGGCCTGGAGAGACGGCTCGGCAGCTCTTGCAGAAGACCCAGGTTCGAATCCCAGCACCCACAAGGCGGCTTTCAATAGTCCTTAACTCCATTTCCAGGGGTCCGAAGCCCTCTTCTGACCTCCGCAAGACACTTAACATACATGCAAGCAACACACTCATGCACATAAACAAATTTAGTAACGCACAAAACTAAGTTACAAATTTTTTAAAAAATTTTACCCAGACCTACTAATTCTAAGAAAGCAATCACTATCACCCTACACCAGTGAGCCCAACCCAAGTGTAAACCAAGGCAAATGGTTTTCTTCCTAACCAGAATGATTAAAAAGACAAGCCCACAGAGGTAGGCGGATCTCTGAGTTCAAGGCCAGCCTGGTCTACATAGTGAGTTCCAGGACAGCTGGGGCTACAGGGAGACCCTGTCTCAAAAAGACCACCCCCCCACCCCCCCAAAAAAGCAAGCCCTTGAGAGGCATAAATTATAGTATGGTAGTTCCTTCCGAGAAGGGCCTCAAGACGGTTCAATTTCGGGACCAGGGCACAAGCCCTTGGACCCCCGAGAAACCATGACAACGTGCGCTACAGTCCTGCCACGCGGGACCGGGACACGTGCGCGGCACCGTAGTCTTTTCCCCTCCCGATTCCCGACGCTGCAGCGTCCCACACAACCCACTTTTCCCCGCAGCTCAGAGCCTCGGCCACACTCCTCCGCCCACACACGCAGGTAGCGTCCCAACGTCTCAGACCCAGTGCGCCTGCGCCTCTACGTCACCACGCCTGGGTCGCTCCTGTGGGTGGGACGCCCCGGAGGGGCGTGCCCTGGGCGGGGCTAAGGGAACAGGGGGCGGGGCTACGTGCCGACGGCGGCTGGGAAAGGCCTTGGTTGCCAGCCGCCGAGGAGGGTGGGCTGCTCGGCTGCCTACGTCCCCGGAGAGCGGTCGGGGCAGGCGGAGTCCACGCGCCAGCAGGTAGGACGGGTGGGCGGGCTCGTGGGCGGGCGACGGCGTTGGCCCAGTCTGGCGCTGCGGGGAGGGCGATGGCCTTTCACGGGCGGGGCGCCCCGGGGAGGTCGCACGGCCTCGAGGGAACCGGTGACCTGCCGTGGGCGTGGGGGCCTCTGCCTGGTCCTCCAGGATGGTGGCTGCAGCCCGGGATGGTCGCTGCAGCCCCGGATGGTCGCTGCAGCCCTGGTTGCTGCTGAGGAGCCTGCACTCGGTTCCCGAAAAGATAAGGACCAGCCTCAGTTGTCACACCTGAGCGTTCCTGACCACAGCTTCTGGCCCTTATCCGACCCGGGAAATTGGCTAGATGGACAGATGATAAGGTTTCTAAACCCAGCCATGCTCAATTTAAGGTGAAAGCCTCTAGAAGGTTCTAAAGTTACCCTCATTCCCCAAATCTCACCTGTAGTCTCATGGAGCTGTGCTCTTACCAGCTGAGGTAGGAGGTTGTTGCTTTTGTCATTCTGGTCTTTCCCCTTATTTCCCTCTATCGGCCCTTTATATTTCTTTGTAAAAATTTTTATTGCATTTAATTATTTGTGTATGTATGTGTGTATGTATGTGCCACGGTGCATGTGTGGAGGTCAGAGAACAACTTGTGGGAGTTAGTTCTTTCTAGCTTGTGGGTTCTGGGGATCAGACTCAGTTGTCAGGCGGCATCACCTGCGAGCCATCTCAACAGCCAAGGTCCCTGAAATTCTCTCCTGTTGTTCTTTTCCAAATCGGGTTGCACACATGCTTAAATTTGTTTAATCCCCCCAAGTATCTTTGCTTTGCTTGTTTTCTTGCCTACATTTTCCTCCTTGAAAATCAGTTCTCCCTCTCATGAGTGTCTCGTCCGGGCACTCTACCTTTGACCTGGACTGACGTCTGCACATTAATGACTGGTGAGTAATCTGAACACCTCTCATACTGAACTGGTTCTCATCTCTCACCCTCACCTCAGAACCTGCTTTTTAATGTCTGTTTCTACAAATCAACCAGATTTAAAACGTATTCAACAAACATATCTGAACACCTGAACAATGTGCAAGACACTATTGTAGACATGGGGTGCAATGGTAGGACAGTAATTTTACTGGGAACAGAAAAACTCTAAACCAGAGACCAGTCAGTCAGATGGGATGTGACAGTGACTGGAAGGGCTACTTTGGCTAGGAGGGATCGGAAATAGCCTTGGGGAAGATTTCAAAATTAAACTTCTTTACACCAGCTGTAATGAGCCAGGAGGCACTGTTCCTAATGGCATTCAGAACTAAAGTTATCTAGAAATAGATCAACCTAAAGATGCGTAATTCTGTAGGAAGAAAATTATTATGCTCTACTGAAATTCATAAAAGAAGACCAGTAAATGGGAAGATAAACACTATTCATGGATGGGAAGGCTTACTATCAGAAACATTATTGTTGTTCACAATGCTGTAAATTTATTGCAATGGCAGTTAAAAATCACGTGACTTTTCACAGACCTTGATCTGCTAAGCCTAAAATTTACATAGAAAGCAAAAGAAAGGATAACTAAGTCAATTTTGAAGAAGAAAATTATAAATAACACTTTCTTCCTATCAGGAGTCAAAACTGAATATAATATCCGTAGTAAGATAGTATGGTATTGGTTCTGAGATAGAAAAGGAGATTCATGAGACAATAGTGCTTAGAAAAGCACTCATGGACATATGAGCTTAATTTACTACTACTAAGTGATTTCACAAAGCAAGAGTGTAAAGTGCTTCATAAATGACATTGAGTTATGTAGTCTCTATTTGGAGCAAAGACAGAATTATTCATACCATTCACAATAGAAATTTCTAGATAAATTAAGGACCTAAATGTGGAAGGCATACCTGTAGGTTACTTGGGGAGGGAAAAAGGAGACTGTTGTTTCTCAGAAAGATTTCTTTTTTTTTTTTTTTTGGTTTATTGTGGTAAAATTTACATAGTATTTGACATATAGCACTTTAAAAATATTTTTGTTTTTAAGTTATATGTGCATCTCTGTGTGTGTGCCTGGAGGTCAGAGGCAACAGATCTGTCTGGAGCTGGAGTTGTAGGTGGTTGTGAACTGCCTGGGTACCTGGAATTGAGCTCTGGTCCTCTGCAAGACCAGTATGCACATATGTATGTATATGTATATGTATATATATACACATATACATGCATATATGTATATTATTATTTCTTAACTTTTTAAAAAACTTTGTTGAGAATTTCATGCATGCATGTTAGGTGTTTTGATCAAATCCACGCCTACTACCTCCCCTCCAACACCTCCCATATAGTCTGTCTTTCTTTTTTCAATGGGGCTTTTTGCCACTTTAACACTCCCCCCTCTGAAGAGGTAGCCCTAAAATCTTCTAGGGATTGGATAAGAGGTCCCAAATACTCTTGTCATTTTTGGCCTTTGGAACAGAGTATGTTGCTAAGAGGCCCAAGGACATTTTGACTTTTAGCCAAGGCTACTTTTCTTTGGGGTCTTTTTTACCCTAACTGCCCAGCCAATTCCTACCTCCTATTCTTATCACACCATCCTCTGAAGAAGTTACCCAAATTGCTGATATGGAATTGTTACACAGACCGCTCTGGCTTCTTCCATGCTGAACAGGGACACAGGGTGAGGCAATTGGAGTACCCCTTCAGTGAGTCTATCTAAAAAGACTCCCAAATTGTATAACCGTTATCACCATGTGGGGGCAGGATCCAGGCGCTCTCAGGTAGTTCCCTGAGTTCTCAGCCCTTGTGCCAGAGGGAGGCTGGAACAGGCACTCTGGCGGTCTGCTGAGATCTCAGCTTTATCCTACTAAATGGGCAGAGGTCTGCCTTGGGACCCAGTATGCACTCTTAACCACTGAGCTGCTCTCTAGCCCCCATTTAGCACTTTTTAGTGGTATTCACGGTGTTGTGTGATCATCTTCTGTTTTCTTTAGAAGGATTCAAGTTACAGAAAGTGCCCTTGAGGATGCTGCAGCATCACTCTAAAATAGATCCAGGGTGACTTAAAGGCCAGAGCAGCAGCAGTGAGCGTGGAGGAAAGCGAATGGATCTGGGGTATGTTTTGATGGCAGAGGACAGGAGTTGTGCATGGTTTTTATAGTTGGTGGGGGGAAAGCAAGGACTTAACAGCAACATCCAAGGTTTTTGCTGGGGCTACTAAGGTAGACTATTTCTCTTCCTCTTCCTCCTCTTCCTCTTCCTCTTCCTCCTCCTCCTCCTCTTCCTCCTCCTCTTCCTCCTCTTCCTCCCCCCTTCCTCCTTTTGAGACAAGGTCTCCCTCTAGCCCCAGCTGACCTGGAACTCACTTTGTATACCAGGCTGGCCTTGAACTCACAGAGATATGCCTGCGTCTGCCTTCCAAGTGCTGGGACTAAAGGTGTGCACCACCATGCCCGGCTCAGGTAGACTGTTTCTAAATAGAACTCCTTACCATTTGATTGATGGTGATAGATTAGTGGAGGAAGAATTTGAGAAGAAAAAAATAATTCTGTTTTGGACAATTAAATTTGAAAGGCCTGTCAGACCAAGTGCGGGTGTTTGGTTGGAGATGGGGAAATGCAGTTGATGTGTCTGAGGACATAGTACTAGCTCAAGGTGCTTGTCAGGATGTGTCACTGGCATGTAGGCATTTAATGCTGTGGTAGATTGGGATTAGATTCAGCTATATTACACAGAAAATGTGTTATAGGCTGTGTACAATGGTGTGGGCCTTTAACTCTAGCACTTGGGAGGCAGCAGGCAGATGTCTAGAAGATCGAGACCATCCTTGTCTATTTATCGAGTTATAGGCCATCTGGAGCTACAGGAAGACTCTGTCTCAAAAAACCAAAGCCAACAAAACAAAACACAAAAAGGAAAACCAAACAACGATAAAAAAGGAAAATGTGATGGCCTAGGTGGTCCATGGCTGTTGTAACAGTAGCTGCGTGGCACCAGGGACTTGACTTTTCAGTCTTGCCACTCCATTGTCATTAGCATATGCTGCATGATTAAGGCAGATGCTTTAATCCCACTGTCACCTGCTTATTCTAGAAGGAAGGGGGAGAGAAGGACAAAGAAAGGTACATACTCTTTAAGGACACATTCAGAAGTGGCACGTACACTTTCCATTCGTTGACTGTCATTCAACAACCACAGTTAACTGGAGGGAAGAAGGCTGATACAGTCTTTACTCAGTAACCTGTGTGCCAGCTCCAGTTGAGGCTTTACTGTTGATGATGAAGGGTGAAATGATGTCCCATTTTGGTCAGATTTCTTCTCCACTCAGGACAGTGATGCTGTCCTAAAGAACATCCCAGGGTCAACACTGTTGCTAAATTCATGGAACTTTGAAATGTGTTTCATTTTTATACTTAGAATGTCTCATTTTATTTTTGTGTCCTCAGTTTCATCAGAATTTCTCCTCTGTTCTCTAGTTGCAGGTAGTGTTTCAGATCTAATGTAACCATAATCATGATTCCCAGGAACAGAGAGAGAGAGAGAGAGAGAGAGAGAGAGAGAAGGAGGGAGGGAGGGAGGGGAAGAACAAAACTGAGGACTTTATACTACCTAGATTCAAGACCTACCATAAAACTCAATAATCCAGACAGTCTAAAACTATATTTAGCAGTGTTTATAAAGTCAAACATGATCTTCCCTGTGCTACTTTTAAAAAAATTTTATTATTTTTATTTTATGTGTGTGCATGTATTGCCTGCATGTAGGTAAGAGCACCCATGTTGTGCGATGCCCACGTAGGTCAGAAGAGGCTGTCGGATCCCCTGAGACTGGAGTTACGGACAGTTGTTAGCTGCCATGTGGGTGCTGGGATTCGAACCTGGGTCTTCTGCAAGAACAACCAGTGTTCTTAACCGCTGAGCCGTCTCTCCAGCCCCCTGTGCTACTTATTTAAGAACACAGGAATAGGTCAGTGGAATGGCTTCGAGTCTAGAAATAGCTCTGTTGAGTTCTGAATAAGGTATAGAGTCATTTCACTGGGTCAAAGAACATTTTTCAGCACATTCTATTGGAACTTTTGGATCGCCATATAGAAAAAAGTTCAATCTCAACTTCTGTTTTACTCAATATATAAAAATTAACTTGGAATGGAGCATAGATCTAAACATAAAAGATAAACATCTTTTAGCTAAAATAATGTGAAAAGATGACACGATGTAGGCTTTAGTTTGTCAGATGGGATACAGAATACAGTAGACACTAAAGAAAAAAATTGGTAGAGATATTCTGTCAAAATTTAAGCTGTTTATCAAAAGGTACCTTTAAAGAAATGAATAGGGGGCTGGAGAGATGGCTCAGTGGTTAAGAGCACTGGCTGCTCTTGCAGAGGACCTGGGTTCCGGGCCCAGCACCCACATGGCAGCTAACAATCATGTGTAACTCCAGTTCCAAGGAATTCAGTACTACCTTCTTCTGACCTTCTGCAGGCACTGCGTGACAAGGGTGCATTTACTTACATGCAGGCAATACACTCATACACATAAGATAAAAAAAATATATTTTTAAAAACTTTAAAAAAGAAGAATAGACAAGACTTGGAAAAGATAGTTGAAATAACATGTACATACATTTGATAAATGTGTAAAGAACTGATAACTCATCTAAAAAAATTAAACTTATGTATAAAGAACTGATAACTCATCTGAAAAACCATTTTAAGTGAGCAAAAGACCTGAACAGGAGGCTGGAAAGATGACTCAGTGGTTAAGAGCACTGGCTGCTCTTCCAGAGGACCCAAATGGCAGCTAACAACCATCTGGAACTCTAGTTCCAGGGGATCCAACACCCTCTTTTGGCCTACTTTGCACACACAGGTGCACTTACGTACATGCATGCAAAACACTCATATACATAAAATAAAAATAAATAAAAATTTGGATACTTCACAAAGGTAAATGTAAATGGTTGATATGCTTTTGACAATGTGCTGTCAAGATGGTTTTCTGAGCATTTCAAATTGTGAGGTACTGTAAGATACCTACTAAAAAGACTAAAATCAAATATTGGCAAGTCTGTAGAATAGCTGGAGCCTTCATTCTCCTACTTTGCTGGTTACAGTTGTTAAAAATACTTATCAGTGTTATGTAACATTAAGCATGTATTTTCCCCATGACCAAGCGTTTTCACTCCTGAGTAGTTACACGAGTTTGAAAATTGTCTACAGAAAGACTAATTCAAAATGCTTACGGTAGCTTATAGTAGGCACAATCTTGGCAGCCCCCAAAGATGCCCATACTCTAATTCCTGGAGCCTGTGATTATATTTTTTATAAATGGTAAAAGGACCTGCAGATGGAATTAAGTTTACAGACTTTAAATGGGGAGTTTTTTTATACAAATGTTTTTATTCAATTTCATACATGCATATAATGTGTTTTGATCATATTCCTTTCGCATTACCTTTGCTTAGCCCACGCCTGTACCAGTAAGATCATTATCTACCATAATCACACATAGACCCTTAAAGTGGAACAGGAATGCAAGCGAGGTGCAGATGTGGCAATGAGGAGGGAACAGGCTGTTGAAGTTCAGAGATCTAGGGGAGGAAGTTCAGAGATCCAGGGGGAGGCGTCTAGGAGCCAAGAGATGAGGACGGCAGAATGGAGCTGGATTCATCAACCAATAACCAGAAAGAACTGGATTCTGCCTGAAACGTGAATGAGGTAGAGTTGGACATTCCTTAGAGAAGCCAGGAAGGAAAAGCAGCCCTGCCAACACCATGGCTTCAGTTTGGGACACTTAGAGCAGAGAAATTAAATGTAGAGTGGTATCTAGGAATCTGCATTTTATTAAGAACCTGAGCAGATAGTCTTTGGATGACATGTTGAGTAACACTTCGTACCCTGTTCTTTAATTTTTAAAAAAGATTTATTTTTATTTTATGTATGGGTTTGCCTGCATGTATGTATATGTATCACATGCATACCTGGTGCTCTTGGAGGCCAGAAGAGGGCTTTAGATCACCTGGAACTGGAGTTACAGGCAGTTATAAGCTGCCACATGCTCCTGACTCCTGAGCCATCTCTCCAGCCTTTATACCCTCTTCTTTAGAACTTCATCTAGACCCATGGTTTGAGAAATATATGTTGGTGAATCATACATTTGTATCTGTACAGTGGATCTTTCTGCCAAACCCACTTCACTTTTTGATCATCTTACATGAATATTAAAGAACCTTAATCTAGACAGGTTGAAGTTGGGAATTCATCCTTTCTGCCCGATCAATTTCTTTTCCAGTTGTTACTCATTTTGGTAAACTTTTCCCCATGTACTTAGGATTCAGGTCAGAAACTGAGGCCCTTATGTGTTTTCCCCTGCTTCTCCACCAGCGTCCTGCTGTCAGACTTGGTGATTCTTCCATCTTACCAGCTCATTTGTCTGCTTCCCCCTGCCTTAGGTACCCTAAGTACCCTTTTCTCCTTAATTATTGTTCAAAGCCTCTATGTTGTCTTTTCCTGACTGGTTTGGCTCCTCTCTCACCTATCTTCTAAGTTTTCTTAAAAACAATTTAATAATACAAAACTCCATTTATTAACATCACGGAACTTTGATAACATCTTGTAACTCAGGGTGTCAGACTCCTGAACTTGAAAAGACTTTCGTGATCTGCAGGCTCCTACTTTTACACTCTCATTCAACAGAATCAGTAAGGAAGAGGAAAGCCAAGAAGCACTGTCAGCTGTTGACCTGATGGACATTTGTAGAACACTCTACCCAGCAGCAGCAGAACACACATTCTTTTCAAGACTATTCTTTTGCAAATAGATCACATTCTGTGCCATGAAACAGACCTAGGTAAGTTTGAAGGAGTTGAACTTATCTAAGCCTGTTCTTCAACCACAATGGAATTAAGCTAAAAATAATAAAGATACCTGAGAAAATCCCAAATATTTGGGAATTGAATCACATTCTTTTGTGGGTCAAAAAAGTCTCAATGAAACTAGAGAATAGTTTTTAATCAAATAAAAGAAAAACCAACACTACCCTACCTGTCAGGCATTTGAGGGGTGGAGGGGGAATAGCAAGGGGCCTTCTTAGTATTAAGGGCATTAGAAATGATGTTTGCTTCACTTCTAAGAAACTAGAAAAAACACTTTGAAATCAGTGCAGACAAGGAATAAAATAACTAAAGATCAGTGATGTTTCAAGAGCCTCTAAATGAGATTAAGCACTGCTTCTTTGAAAATAATGAAGCCTGCCAGGCGTGGTGGCATAGGCCTTTAATCCCAGCACTTGGGAGGCAGAGGCAGGTGGATCTCTGTGACTTTGAGACCAGCTAGGGCTACATAGTAAGTTCCAGGCCAACTGGGGCTACGGGGAGACCCTGTCTCAAAAAAACAAAAACAAAAAACAAAAACAAACAACAACAATAAAAAATCCCATAAACCTCAACTGATTAAGAAAAAAGAGATTTAAAAGGGGAGGTGGGTTCTAGAGAGATGGCTCAGCTGTTAAAAGCATTGACTGCCCTTGCAGAGGACCTGGGTTCAATTCCAACACCCTCTTCTGGCCTCTGCGGGCATTGCATGACATGGTACACTTACATACATGCAGGTAATATACTCATACACATAAAAAAAATAAATATTTTAAAAACAGAAAAAGAAAAGAGAAAACACATTGCCAAAATCAGAAACTAAAGCACATTACTTCAGACATTAAAATAGTATGGAAATACAGCTTAAAACTTAAAACTTTTTTTTAAATTTTGTGTGTATGAGTGCCTGCATGCATGCACCCATGTCATGCAGTGCCTGCAGAGGTCAGAAGAGGGCATCAGATTCCCTGGAACTGGAGCTATGGGCAGTTGTTAGCTGCCATGTGGATGCTGGGAATCAAACCCAGGTCCTCTGCAAGAGCAACCAGTACTCTTAACCACTGAGCCATCTCTCCAGCCCCAACTTAAAACATTTTAAGAAAGAGAAGTTGGGGATGTGGCTCTGTGGAAAAGTGCCTAGCTAGCATGCCTGAGGCCCTGGGTTCCAATTCCAGCCTTCCTCAGAAAACAAAACAAAACAATTCCAAAATAGAGGAGATGAAACTTTTATAAGACCTGAATTAGGCCAGGGGAGGCCTGGTCTGCATAGCAAGTTCTCTGATAGCTGGGGCAACAGGGACTCTGTCTCAGAAAACAAACAAAAGACCTGGCTTGCTTTGATATGAAAACAAGACAAAGATTATCATGAAACTACAGATTAATATCTCTGATTTATCTTTGACACAGAAATCTATAGCAAAATAGTGGCAAGTCAAATCCAGCATCTAAAATGGAGACTTTTATTCACACAAGAACTGGTATACAAATTATTATTGGCCTGGTGGCACCACCTCTAATCTCAGTCTGATCTCTGTGAGTGCCAGTGAGATCCTGTCTCAGCATAGTGAGACCCTGTCCCAACAAACAAATCAGCCATATTCATAATCCCTAAAAATTGGAAACAACCTAAATGCCTTCAGCTAGGGAATGCATAAACAAATTAATTCACCTGTATAGTCAGTAGAAAAGGTAAGCTGCCTGGTGTCCACAGCAACACGGGTTAGGGTTCTCAAGTGCATTTCTATTTGGTTTGGTTTGGATTTCTTGAGACAGGGTCTCCCTGTAGCCCTAGCTGGCCTGGAACTCACTGTGTAGACCAGGTTGGCTTTGATCTAATCTGCCTGCCTCTGTCTCCCAAGGTATGTGGGCTGTTGGGCCCCCGGTCTGGGGTACCCAAGGTCCATGGAAAGTCACACCCCAATGACTCAGTCCCAAGACCAGGAGATGCAACAAGCAAGAGGATTTAATCATTTGCGCAGACGGGCTTCTGCCTCACTCGGAGAGAGAGCAGCAGCCCAGAGCTCAGCTTACAGGCTTCTTTTAAAGGCAAAAACCACAAACCAAAACCGGCAGCAGTGGGAGGGGGCCGGCAGCAGTGGGAGGGGGAAGTTTTGGGTGATTTTCAGCTTGTGCACAGAGCATGAAAAGGTCAGCTTTTTCTCAGCAGTTAGATTTTACATCTTACTTCCTTGTACAGCTTCCCAGAATATTCTTTGGTCTGGGAGACTTGGTTTGAATCCACTTTGACCTGGGGGGGAGGCTTTAGTTTGATTTCATCAGGGCCACTATGCCCAGCTCAAGTGCACTTTTAATTCAAGTGAAGGAAGTCAGGTCCTGGCTACTTACATTTACATAACATCCTTTTTTATTTCTTAGTTTTCATTTTTATTCTGTACTTACCTGTGTGTGCCAAAATGCAAGTGTAGTGTCAGAGGACAATTTGTGGGAGTCTATTCTCTCCTTCTATCATGTGGGTCTCTGGGAGCCAACTCAGGTCATCAGGGCTTGGCAGCAAGCACCGTCAACCACTGAGCCATTTTGCCAGCCCCAATTTATGTGCCCTTCTCTTTTGTAAAGACTTATTTTTTTTTTAATTTTATGTGCATTAGTGTTTTGCCTGCATGTATGTAAGTGCACCTGTGTTGGGAAAGACAGAAGAGGACATTGAATCCCCCGGAACTGGAGTTAGGGACTGTTGTTAGCTACCAGGTGGGTGCTGGGAACTGAACCCTGGTATTCTGCAGGACCAGTCAATGCTTTTAACTGCTGAGCCATTTTCTAGCCTCTTATATGACATTCTTATAAAGGCAAAACTATAGGTACTGTAGTGGCTTCCAAAGCCCAGTAAGGAAGAGGCTTATCTACAGGGTATGTCAGGGACAAAGGTCAGTGTCAGTGGTCTTCCTTACTTGTTCTCCACCTTAATTTTTTTTTTTTTTTTTTTTTTTGGTCTTTTTGAGACAGGGTCTCCCTGAAGCCCCAGCTGGCCTGGGACTCACTATCTAGACCAGGCTGGCCTCAAACTCAGAGATCCACCTGCCTCTGCCTTCTAAGTGCTGGGATTAAAGGTGTGTACCACCACACCTGATGTTTATTTTTTTAAATTTTTGTTACTTTTTTATTTAGTGTGTATGTGTATATGGGCACGCATGCCATATTATGGAGGTTGGTGACAACTTTGGGAGTTAGTTCTCTCCTCCCCCCCCTTTTTTGTGGTAGGGTTTCCCTGAAGCCCCACCTGGCCTGGAGCTCACTATGTAGACCAGGCTGACCTCCATCTCACAGAGATCCACCTGCCTCTCTGTCTCTGGAGTGCTGGGATTAAAGGTGTGTGCCACCACCCCTTGCCTGTAAGCTCTCTCCTTCCACCATATGGGTCCTGAGTATTGAACTTGGGTTGTCAGGCTTGGCTGCAGGCCTTGACTTACCCAGTCATCTCACTGGCCCCACCTTATTTTTTGAGACAGGGTTTCTTAGCAACCCTGGAGCTTACCAGTTTGGCTAGACTTGCTGGTCAACAAGCACTAGGGATCTTCCTGTCTGCCTCCTCAGTGCTAGGAATATAGGTGCATGTTGATGCTGTGCCAGGTTTGTAACATGGGTCCCAGGGATTCAAACCCAAGTCTTTTGTTTTGTTTTGTTGAGACAGGGTCTGACCTGGAACTTGTTATGTAAAACAGTCTGAGAGAGAGCGACTTGCCTCTGCCTCCCAAGTGCTAGAATTAAAGGCGTGCACTGCCGAGCCTGGCGTGATAAGCACTTTACTGAGTGAGCCACCTCCAGCCCTGGAAATTGGAACTCTGAATCTAACTTTTGAATCCATCAATTTTGAAGTATCTGTAGTAGTTTGTAGAGATAAATTTCAAACTGCACCATAGATCCGAGCACATAGGACTCTAACAGGAAACGTTCCCACAGAGATGAGCAATTAATCAGAGATTACACAGCCTATAGGCAAACAGACCACTACAAAGCTAGGAATCCTTAATTACTAGAAACAGTAGTTCCAACACTGAGACTTCAAAAGTTTCTGTAATGTAAAGGAAGATGTAGAAATCAGTAAGGGCCAACTTGTTGCAGCATCATTTATCCCCACAAGGCCAAAGGACAAAGGATGTATAGGGTCAATTTGGAGCTGGTTAGTCTGGAGTGGCCTGGCTTGCCTGGCAGTTAGTGCTGGCTACCAGCTACAATGTATTGGCTGCCTTAATGGGACTCCGTGACCTATTTCTTGTGACCCAACAGACCAACCTACACTTTTTTTTTTTCGGTCTTTTTGAAACAGGTCTCTGTAGCCCCAGCTGTCCTGGAACTCACTATGTAGACCAGGCTGGCCTTGAACTCACAGAGAGCTGCCTGCCTCTGCCTCCTGAGTGCTGGGATTACAGGCGTGTGCCACCACGCCCGGCTCTACACTTCTTTTTTTTAGCTTATGGTAGCCACAACATTCTTGAGCGGCCAATCTGAGGCCTCCGGTTGCCAGTGCTGGTCAAGGCCCTGTTTGCATCACATTTCCCTCCTGCAGCCAGTTAGTCCTAAGACCAGACCATAGTTAGTGTAGGAAGACAGTAACGAAGGATGTGGTTTATAGGAAAGGGAATCATTTGTGGCCATTAAAATACTCTGCATTTTGGGCTGGAGAGATAGCTCAGTGGTTAATAACACTGGTTGTTCTTGCAGAAGACCCAGGTTCGAATCCCAGCACCCACATGGTAGCTAACAGCTGACCGTAACTCCAGTCCCAGGGGATCCGACAGCCTCTTCTGACCTCCGCAGGCATTGCACGACATGGGTGCACTTACCTACATGCAGGCAATACACGCATACACATAAAAATTTTTAAATTAAAAAAATATTCTGCATTTTAAGACTGTGTTGAACAAGTCAGTGAAAATGAGTTAAATAAATGAGTTAAATAGTTGGAGACTCAATTTGGAGGAACAGTCTGAAAACATTTCAGGGAGATTGCAAAAGATAG